CACGTTCGTGTTCCCTTTCTATAGCTTGTTCCTGTAAACCGCCAGAGATAAAGAAAATGTTTTTTAAGAAACTTACATTTCATTAAAATATTGATTACAAGAAAAAATTGGGGTTTGTTTTTACGGTGAAGAAACTATGTTGATCACTTAAAAATAATTAACACCTTTTAGTAGTCCTGAAAGCATAGCTAAAATTACAGGGAAAGAAAAAAAAAAAACACCCAAAACCACACAACCCACACCTTTGAGTCCAACATACATGCAAACTACAATTAGCAATTAATAAAAAGGAAAAAAATTATCCTGTAAAACTACAGAAAAGGAACTAAAAAACTACCTGTTTTTTCTTCTACAAGACTAGAATATCAAGGTCTTAATTTAAAAAAAAAATGGAAAGTATCCCATTTTAGGAACCACCTTCCAAATCTCAGTCACAAACTAGGAGTATTTATCACCTCCAAAACCATGAAAATGGGGTACCAAGCTTGCTTACATCCATGAATTGCCGTTGTTTTTTAAGCTGTTTTTCAAGAACTTGAATTTGCTGTTTTAATTCAGCAACCTCCAACAACTGTGTAGCCAGGTCTTGATTAGTATGCAGCTGTTCTTCCAGTTCCACCTCCAAAACTTTCATTTGAGAGCGTAAGTTGGAATGATCTTTTTCTGCCTGACACTGAAGCTCTAATTTCTCCTTTGCTAAAAATTCTACTTCCTTGAGTAGACCTGAATAAGAACACAAAAATAACAACAAAGTTGTCAGTGCAGGGTACAAAAAAAAAATCAAATTAAGATGAGATTAAATTCAGGTACTTTGGAGAGAATCAAAACCAAAGGAGACAACCTCCTGAGATGGCCTATAACAGACACAAAAGGAAGTCTGATACTTCACTGCCCGTTGTGTCTCTGAAAGCCACCTCTGATAAGACTACTGTACGATGTAGTAAAGGACGACATGGGCATCTGTTCTCAATCCCAAAGTGAATCCTGGTGGGAGATATTCCAGGCACATGCGAAGCTTTCACCTTCACCCCTGGAGACCTCACAAGTCCAGAGAGCCCCACCTCACCTGACCAGAAGTCCTTCAAATTCCATCCTTAGCTCCTTGCCCTCTCAACCCCGGTTCCACATTCTTCCTACCCCAGAGGCTCTTTCCAAACCACATCAGATCCTCAATCCTCCAAATTCACCCCATTCCAGATGTGCTCCACCTCTAAAGTTTAAGCCCCACACTGCACTGTCAGCCGCCCAGTCTCTCATACCCATCCTTCCAACTGCCCCATCTTTCACTGTTCTATCCTAAATCCTTGCCGCTCCTTCCATCCCAACTTCCCACCCTACTTCAAATCTCTTCCTAATCAAGCCATCCAATACAGAATTCTCAATTTCTCCAAACTCTCATGCCAAGATCCTCCTTAGACCTCCAACATCCAGTCTCAGGTCAGCCTCTCAATTACTCCTCTGCCTCATGCTATGCTGCATACTGCTGCTAATGTCTACACTCTTGAGTTAGCACCCAGTCCATCTTTTCAGTGGCCACCGACGCCCAGCCCTACCCTGAAGCTAGCTGCTATAAGAAAGCAAAGTTAACCTTTTTCTCTGAGCCCGAGTGGGGATTAAAACCCAGAGAAAAATCACCCTTACAGAAAATTAGTCCAGTTCTAAGGCTACAAAGGGAAGAAACACCTGGCAAAAAGATGGTACATATTTACCCTACACAGACTGTAAAAGAAATACTACAAATACGAAAATATACAAAGCTCAAGATTATTTAAGTTATCAAGAGCTAATTTGTACCTACAAACTGCATTTTCAATCAGTTGGATGCACTGAATACACTGTTTAGGAGACTCAAACTGAGACTCTACTGTGAATGCACTTGGAGCAATATTATTTTAATAGTTTTAATAGTTAAAGTTATTAATAGTAATAATATTTTAATAGTTCATAGCTAAGTAACCTAAGCATGAAAATAGAAGTCTGGCTATTTAGTATTTAAAACAAGGTCCTGCCAGAGCTCATTATTTTACTTATCAAAGATTCCATTATTCATCTTAAATGTTTTCAGTCATAGAGAAAAAGGTAAGTCTACGATTTCAACAAGGACCGTGAGTGGTCATCCAGCCCAGTTCCCAGAATGGGACAATTCCCTTTTCCAAGCATGATAAACTCAATCCACATGATTTCTGAGCTAACATCATTTTAAGCTGCTGTTACAAACCTTTGAAAACAAAAGTGATACCATAGCCTCCGTACAACATCTTTTCTAGTGCTTTACTATCCACAGGTATTTAATTAAATTTCTAGACACTTTAAAATAAGCCAAGAAACATGAACATTTCTATGTTCATTCTTAAGAGGATAAGCAGGACAAGCTTAGAATGATGCATTTATATTAAACATTGGGGAAAATATCACCTCAGTAAGGATAATGGAACAGAATGCACAGGGACTGTGAAGTGTCTGTCTCCAGAAATCAAAGAGGCTGAACAAAGAGAAACAAGTGAAGTAGATTCTGTTTTGGGACAAAACTATGGACTAAATGAGCTCTCAAGGTCCCCATCAACCCTTTGATTCCACGATTTAGTCACCCTGGTCTCTGACTGTAGCAACTCTACTTTCTCTGCATTAAGACAATATTCAAATACTCAAGATAAAACTAAGAGGTTAATTGAGCAAAAGAAAACTTAGCAGATATGGAACCATAGCAGATTATTTAACCATTTGTCAGATTTGCTAAGCACCCTTGGTAGCTTTTGAAACCAACTGAAATGGACACAAAATTGCTTATCAGTCACTTGAATTCTTTGAGATGCGTTGCATACATGTACATCGCCAATTCAGAGCATGACACACCAGCTGAAGGAAAAAAAAAACCCACATTTTGTTTTACAGTCACTCTAGACAATATGTTAAGGCCCCTCCTTAACACATGGGTACACTGACACCAGGCTTCTGCCATTTTAAGTTTGCTATTGGCTGATAAATACAAAGCATAGGATTAATTAAAGGACTTTAAGGAACTGCTGGAGCTATACACACAGACTACCTAGCTCAAAAACTCTAGTCCTGGTAAGTACTTTGTGCCTTTGAGTGATAATCCACAACTACATTCCAACTACATTTCACTCCAAGCACTAATTCTGCACACTCACAGTTACTAAGAGCAGTATCTCAGATGCCTATATAATAATCACAACTCTGCAATTGCTGTGCCATGCTCCCTACTTTTTCTAACACAGTGCTAAATAATCACATGAATTAAACTTCAAGTTTCCTAATCAAACATTCATTGAGTTGTGGATGTTAACTCAGGCTCTGGCAGAACGTATGCAGGTAAATGAAGAATCTCCCCCAAAGCAATTTCTCTCACAACTCACTTGGAGCTGCAATAGCCTCCATCACAAGATGCAATTGAGCAAGTTTTCCAAGGCTGAAACACACAGCCCAGAAAGAAGCCGACAACAGTCTCAATACCATTAAGAGACTGAATCCCAGCCACAGCTGCACAACAGAGAATATCTTTTACCAAGTGCTGTGTTTTGCCAGGCAGGAGATGGGAATAAAATAGCACTCTATTGTATTTCCTTATAGTTGGTGCACAGAGAAGGGCAAGGTATAGCGCGTATGGGTATACGTGGACCCACAGCAAAGGCACATATATAGACTGACCCCTTGAGAAATGAACTGATGCTTTTGTGAAAATAAGCACAGGAATTTTTCCTTCCATATCCTAAGAAACATGGTCATTAAGGACTTGATGGCTTCTTTTCAGCTTCAAAAGGAACACTAATGCTTTCCAACGAACAAAATACTGATTAGATTAAACCGAAATAAACAGTCACGGTTACCTCCTCAGACAGAAAAAAAAAAGTAATTAGGCTAACAGATTTTACATGGAATTGAAAATGTTTCACAGAAAGCAGGTATCAAATTTTGGCAATCTCAGTAAGAGCAATTTTTAATTTTTTTTTTCTTCTTTTTTAAGCACGTGTTCCCCAAGTGTATAAATATAATTTCAAGCAACATGAATAGATCATCAGATCACAGATTTGTTTCTTTGTAGGGACAAACCTGCTATTTTATTACCACTAATTCAAATCATGCAATGATTACCAAATTACCACTTTGGTAATGCCCCAGCACACTCCTCCCCACTCCCAAGACTGTCATTAGCAAATGCCATGCGCCATTATAAGTGCATTTTATTAGCAAGGCCATTCTACTCACATTAGTACTCCACATCAAAAAAGGGAGAAGGCATCAGCCTCTCAAGGAATAAGCCACATCAGTCAACTCCAAACAATATGAATTTTATTTATCATATTTTCCACATACTACAAACAATTCTGAACCACAGGAAGAGTATTACAGATGGCTGGAGTGGAAGAAAGGGGATGAATTTTAAGGCTCAGCATTTGCAGCAAATGCAACTGTTCAAGTTCTAATGAGCTGTTGGCAAGAGCTGGACTGCAGCTACGAGGAGAATGTCCATCCCCAAATACAGTCTAATCAGCTAGGTTAGACATTCCCTCTCACTGAGCGGGCAGCAGCAAATTTCAGGACAGTGAGGTGGTTACCAAAAATATGTTAAATAAAAATAGTGTTTGAGAGAGATCCAAATGGACAGAAAGATACAGTAATGGGCAAGACAGCCCGGTGCAGCTTTTTAAGTCTAACGGAAATTTACCTAGAGAATTCTTTTTTATTCACCTAAGGGACTTGGTTTATCCAGCTTGCACCCTTTGGGGGAAAATAAAAGGTCTCAAAACAAGAGGCAGTGAACATGCAAGAGAACACATCTACAAATGTATATATGTGTATAAATAAAATTAATCTAAAAACGTGGTAAGATAATTATATTTTGAGTAGATCACAAAACATAATCATGGCAGCTATGAATTTATCAGATCTAAATGTTTGCTACTCAAGAGTTAAGTATGCATGCTTTAGTTTAGAAGGGGGGGAAAAAAAGATAAAAATGCCTCTTTCAATTTGGCACCTACAAATTTTATTTCAGCATTAGACTTCCAAAGCCACCATAAAACTCCATGGATCCTTCTTCCTTGCTTTCAATTATCTTTCCTCCCATAACTAGCATTCCTTACAACTCTGCTCTCCTCTTCATTTTTCTAATCTACCTATCCATTCAATTATGTTTCTCTGGTCTCCCTCAGACTTCCTTCAGTTCTTGCTGTATTTTTTTTAGCTCACCACCTCAAATATTTTGCTCCCCCTCTCCCTTTTAAATTAATTTAATCATTTTGACAGCCCACTGTGTATCCTTAGAAGCTCACAGCAAGCTTACAATGCACTCCATCCCCTCAAAAGAAAAATGAAGCTGGCAAACATGAAGATAATGACACAATGCACTTTAAGCCTAACGGCAGCAAAACATTTTTTCCTTTAAATATTGATCAGCGAATTGAATATTCTTAATTTTAGTTGTTTTCTGATGTATCACAGAAGTTGTAACTTTTTTTTTTTTGCCAAGTTATTCATAATCCCAGTAGTTTGTTGGGCCTATTTATGAAGTACTATTTCTCTTTGTTAAAATAAAATCAAAACTGTCAATTCATTCACTCAGTGTTACAGCAACACAAACCAGAAAAAAAAAACACTCTCATTATTACAAACCTGAACCTTCTTTTTGTGCTACATTAGTAACAGGTGTTCCTAGAAATCAAAACACACATACAAGACAAGAATAGGACATTGTGATCCATTCCATCTTTTAAATCTTAAAATTCACATGTAATACAAATAGTGCCTACCATTTATTCAGCAAAAACGCATTTTATCTTTATGATGACACAAAGCTCCTGATGACATACGTTGATCCATATCTGTAATTGGACTACAGCTACTATAGAAAGGGCTTTACATTATAAACCTGCAAGTTTGTTGCAACGTTCCTGGCTAGTCACTTATGCATTTTTCTAAGACAATTAATGTTCTCTTTTTGCAATTTTCCCCATACAGAGATGGGATAATTCATGCCTCAAACCCCACTTTTAGTTCCTGCTAGGCAGTTCAAGCAGGATCCAGTCAGCAGGACTCACGGGCACAGACTTACAGACTCTGTAATCTGTCATACTTTTCCACGACACACAGATGTACTTGTGTTCAACAGTATCATGGAAAGATTTTGCATTTCCTTTGGGACATATTACTCGATACTATAATCACTGTTGTAAAGCAAGCACAACATACATTTAGTTTCAGTTACAGCCCCTGAATCTGTTTATGTTCTGCTGTCTTTCCCCTGAGGAAGAGATGTCTTCCCTCACCTCCTCCTCTGCTTACTGGGGCGAATGAGCGTAGGCTCAGTATGTTCGGACAATCTGCGTGAGACCACTATTCAATTTTCTCTTCAGGTAATAGTAAGATATTATTAAGATGCCAGATGAGAGGTCAGAGACAGACACAACTTTTAATATTAACATGTAATACACTTTTTAACAGGGCCTGTAGCAATAGGACAAGGGGTAATGCTTTTAAACTAAAGAGGGTGGATTCAGACTAAACATAAGGAAGAAATTTTTTTACGTTGAGGGTGGTGAAGCACTGGAACAGGTTGCCCAGAGAAGTAGTAGATGCCCCATCCCTGGAAACATTCAAGGTCAGGTTGGATGGTGCTCTGAGCAACCTGATCTAGTTGCTGGTGATGGGGCTGGAAGGCATGTCCTATGGGGAGCGGTTGAGGACTTTGGGTTTGTCTCATTTGGAGAAAAGGACGCTGAGGGGCGACCTCACTGCTCTCTACAGATTTCTGAGAAGGGGACATGGAGAGGGAGGTGCTGAGCTCTTCTCCCTGGTATTCAGTGATAGGACACATGGGAAAAGTTCAACACTGTGCTAGGAGAGGTTCAGACTGGACAGTAGGAAGCATTTCTTTACTGAGAGCATGGTCAAACCCTGGAACAGGTTTACTAGAGAGGTGGTCGATGCCCCAAGGTCATCAGTGTTTAAGAGGCATTTGGACAATGCCCTTAAATAACATGCTTTCATTTCAGGGTTAACCAAAAGTTGTCAGGCAGTTGGACTAGATGCTTGTTGTAGGTCCCTTCCAACTGAAAAAATTCTATTCCAGTTGAAGATGTCCCTGCTCATTGCAGGACAATTGAACTAGACAACTTTTAAAGGTTCCTTCCAATCCAAACCATTCTATGATTTATGTACAACCTGAGTATTTTGATTAAACTATATCTGAAAGGTTGACTGCGGAGCCAAAAGGAAGAACACAGAAGGATGGTGGCCCACAACAGCAGGACAATGGTAGAGTCAAGAGTCAGAAGAGAGGTGAAGAGCAGCAAGGTGAAGAGAAGAGGAGAAGATGAGGTAGGGTAGAAGCAGGCAAGAGTTGCAGAAGAATGATACAGTAGGGCTGAAAGTCAGGCAGGAGTCTACAACAGAGGCTCCTGAGAAGTGGACAGATAACTGCAACCTATAGACTGTGTCCAGTCAAACACATGCTTCCTGTAGAATTTGGGTCCATATCCTGAAACCTAGAGTCTTTACGTTCTTCTGCTACTGACAATGGAGAAATTCACTAGAAAACTGTTTCTTGCTGTCCTTATTTCTGACCTAAACATGCACTATGTATAACCACCTCTTATGTCTTCTGCTCAGGCAGTAAAGATCTATGCAATATAGCTGAAGGTGGCATTGTGGTGACATAGCTGAGGGTAGTGTAATGTTGGCATTAGCAGAAATGGAAAGGTAGTGATCCCAAATGATAAAATTTCTACTGGAAGATGACACAGAGAAATTCACTTATAGAGGTATGTGAGAGTCGGTCCGAAGTCGTTCCGAA